TGGGCAGAGCACACTTAAATTCCAGTCGTCGGGCATGCGTTCATCTGACCATATTCTGCACAAGAGTTGCTGCATGCACCTTATCAACTCCTCGCCGCCGTACTTGAATAGCTCAGCTGGCAGGCTGTCAGCTCCAGCGGCTTTGTTGTTTTTCAGCCGCGTTATTGCTATACGTACCTCGTCATAGTCAGGTGGTGGAATGTCGACTCCGTCATCATCGACTGCGGGCTCGGGTTCTTCTTCTCCACAACTTTCCGTGCTGCTACCATTTAGTAGGGCGGAAAAGTGTTCCCTCCATAATTTAAGTACGCTCTGGACATCAGTTACTAGGTCGCGATTATTGTTCTTACAGGAGTTTAGATTTAAATAATCATTTTTAGTGGTGGGCGAGTCCGAGATGTTTAAGTGATCGAGATAGTACATTCAATTCGCGTAGATTTTTCCAATTTGTATAAAGAAAATGCAAAAAAATATTAAAAATCAACATGAATTCTTAGCTGCACTTTCACTTTAAAATACTAAAATTGAATCGACTATAAAACTGCATACCGTCAGTTGGTGTCGAACACTCATGCGGTGAGGATGTGATCGCACTTTTATTGATTTTATTGCCGTCAACAAACATTTTCGTAAAAGCGCCAGCACAACCTCATCAACAAAGATGAGATAAAAGAGACATCTTTTTGGATTCGGTAATAAGTTTTGACATTTTAATAGCATTTCAAGTGCTTATCAAAACTTTACGACACTCACATATTGACAAGATTTGACCATTTATCTTAATATTATGTATTTTTTTTTTTATAAAATGATGATAAAACATTAATACACTATATAGGTCAGTCCATATTAATGAACATAAAATGAGATCACTATCGATAAAATGGAAATCCTCAAGGGATATTTTTAATTTCAACGCATGGAATTTACATACATTTTTTTACTTTCAACCCCCCCGACTTGCTCTATTTCTGCAGGATCGCCATAAGGTAAATTGCATTTCCAAAGATTTTTTCAAAATAAATAGCGATGAGGGATATTTCGCCCGCCGGTGATAAGAAATCGCAATCACCATAACGCACATCACTAATATTACTGTTCACAATCATGTTTACATTCAAAATTACAATTCATAATTTCGTTTTGTAGCAAATATGAAATATAGGTATATCCATTTACTTAAATGTAAACGGATTAGGAATCAAAGTGCTAGAAGAGATTTGAGCGTTTGGTACAAAAAGTATTTTTGATATTGAAATTGTACTTAAAATCGGCAAATTGTACTTTTGTACATTTTATAAATTAACTGTACTGAAAAAAGTACAATTGTACTTAAAATATCAACACTGTTTCAATGGCGCTGTACTTGCTGCAGCGATGCCAGATTTGAGCGTACCCAATTTTTTACCGTTAATAACTCATGCGAGGGATTTGGGTATTGGGCATTTTACAAGCCTATTAGGAAGAAGACATATCTGTGTTCGTATAGAATAGTAGCTTATGTCGGAAGACTGGCTTTAGTATAATGAACCATTCGCAGCATACGATTGCGAAAGACTCACTGGCGCCGAGTCGTTGAAGAACTCTTGGAATATAAACGTAAAAGATGGCGATGCTAGCAAGTCAATATTCGTATAAAGTCTCATAAAAAAATTCCTTGTGGTTTAAAGAATATAGGAAATGGTACATTTTACTAAAGTCAGCCTCCCGACATAAGCTACTATTTCATACGAACACAAATATATTCGTCTACAAATAATCTTGATTATTTTAATTAAGTCCTAAGATAAGTTTGTGAATCTTATCAGTGTTCTATGTAAGAACCAAAAATCAATCCCCTCGCCAATTAGAACTTTTGCTTTAAAAGAAAAATATACATAGCGCATTTACTCAATACTTGGTCTGGGATCACTGTTTGAGCATTGATGTACTCAGCTCACTGTTGCCAAGGTCGTGCATTTTGCACTAAATTTAGTGCTTTTGGGAAACCAAAAAGCCAAAATAATTGGAATTCAATGCTTGGTGCGTTATTTAGTGATGCTTTTTTAATTTAAGCACACCGAATGCATAGGTACATATGTATGTATGTATACACTATACACTAATATTCTACATTAAGATGGAATTCATTTACTGAATAAAATGTGAGGAATAGGTAAATTAAATATGTTTTGCGGTGTTATAAATTTATTGAAATTAATTTATTAATAAAAACGTGAGGAAATGGATATGTATATACATTTTTTACTGAATCAAAAAAATTATTAATCATGATAATAAAAACTTGGCGCTTTTGTTTTGGAAAAATTGGCTTTTTCTGGTGGCCTGATGCCACACTGGCTCAGTTGTCGCAAAAGTACACATACATACACGCATTTTTACTTGAAAATAAGTGTGTAGTGGTTAATATGTATACGTTGCCATTTCCGTACAGCTCACTTCACCTCGCCTAGCATACTCGCGTGCTCGCAGTTTGCCCGCGACGTCGACTGCGTGCACCTCTGCTGTGCATCCCTAATCTAAGCAATTTTGTATGCATTTTGATTGTGATCTATTACCAGCAGACGTTATGAAAACTAGGTTTTATATCTCTCTGCACATGTGCCATGGGTTGTCAAACTTCCCACTTTATGTTATACAAATTATAATTATTATTTGTTTATATAAGTATTATGTGTTTTTCATAAGCGTCAAACAGAAAAGAATAACCGTATATGGCGTTTGATTTAAAACGCAGACAAACTAGACCACTTAATCAGATTTTTTTTAAATCGGATTACCGATTGATGATTAAAATTAATTAATCGTAATCACAACCGACGATTAACGATTAAAAATATTTAATCATTAATCATACAGATGATTACGATTAATTAATTTTAATCGTTAATCACGATTAACATTTTAATCGTTAATTTTTAATCGTTAATCAGATTAACATTTTTTCAACACTGCCCTCCAATGGGCTGGCTGAAAGATTTGTACGTACTTTTAAAACTGCTGTGAAAAAGAATTTAGATGATGGATTGCAAGTAGGCGAAGCCGTTCTTAAATTTCTTACAACCTACCGCACTATGCTAAAATGCTAAAGGCATGTCACCAAATGCCAAATGCTAAAGGCATGGCATCAGCACAGCTTTTACGTGGTCGTCCAGCACGTACTGTCTTTTCGCAGATGTTTTCTGTTAAAAATGTCAGACGTTAAAGAAACTCGAACCAAATATTCACCGCAGGAACATGTCTATATTCGAAACTATGGTCGCGGAGAGAAATGGCTAAAGGGTGTCGTGGACAGACGTCTAGGTAAAGTCATGTATGTAGTAAAGACTAGCAGGGGTTTCTACAAACGTCACCAAAATCAAATGACATCTCGCCATGAAGAGGACGCGAGGTCAGTTGAAAACAACAACAGTGAAGGGACCAATCCAATTTCCAACTTATTGATACCGGATACAGATGCAGATGCTCATATTGAATAGTCTCAGGTGCAAACAACGAATCCGCAAGAAGTTCGTCGAAGCAGCCGATCGGTACACCGCTATCAAGCAGAAGATTTTCGCAATTAAAGCGGTGGATAGTGCAAATTAAAATTTACTAACAACTATGAATTTTTATTCTCAGTGTAAAACTAATTTTCATGTAATTGTAATTTTGTGTCAATAGTAAATTTTGGTTTTAAAGTTTTTGCATTTCAGCGAGGATGTGTATGCCAAGTCCCACTCCTCAATAGATATTAAATTCACCTTGAATTGATTCTTATTTGATTTGTGAACTTGGCTATCAACTTTTTCACATTCCATTTTATTTTTATTTCGCTGCGTGCAAATTTTGACAACTATCACAACATTAAAATAAATGTATTTTTTTTCGAGCGCACAGAGGAGTATTTGCATAGTAAAACTGGTCAAAATTATTTGGTGTGTTTTTCTGTTAAGTAATAAAAGAAACCACGGAACTTAATCATAATAAGCCGTTTAATAAAAAAATAATAATTCCACTTCTCTAAGAAAAAGTAGAATAAAAAATGGCGATGCATCCAGTTTTTTCAACAGACCTTTGACAAATAATCGGCCCTATTATTTTTGTCGACGTCGACGTCGACGTCGATGTCGTTTTTTCTTAAAAAAAATAGCCATCGCAAGTCCAACGACCGCTGCGCTGACCCCAGTAGTATTTTTACGGAAAGGTGTTCCTCGCAAAACTACTGTGGTAAGCGAAAACGGGGTTGGACGATGAAAGCTATTTTTTAACCAAAAAATGACATCGACGTCGACGTCGACAAACATAATAGGACCGAATGTTCGACAGTTACATAATTCTTACCTAATTAAAGGCTATCTTTTAACGGGCAAATAGTCGATTCTCTTTATAGCTAGACGTTGAAAATTTTCGCTGGAAATACCTATTAAAGAATCTTACTCTCTGACTTTAAATTGCAAAAGAAGGGGACGTAGGGGGACAGTTTTAACGTAGCATCTCCAAAGGCAAAAAATATCGGCTACAATTTGTCATTTTGTTTGCCAGGTAGACGCTTTATCAGTGCACTTGCACAATACTCGTATTCGCAAAAGCTCCGCATTGATTATTTGCAACAACCCTGATCAATATTATTAAACTGTGAAATGTTCAATTAAAATACGCATATATATAAAAAAACCAAATCATATGTATGTAAATAGCGATATTTTTTAATATCCAATTTTTTCAATTTCATCTGAGTTCCCTGTGTCAAGCAGCTGAATAGTTTTCTTAAAGTGATTTTCAATGTACTTGCAAATGCTCATGGCTTTCTCTCCATCCACGAGATTGATCGCAATGCCATTTTTACCTGTAAATAAAATTTCCCATTATTGTTTTGTTTTACATAGTCAACTAAATAAGTATATTTCTCTTGGTCACAGCTACATAATTTGGTTATAGTTTTTCTGGATACACTGTTAGTCAATACATTCTTGAAATCTTTGGTTGCCTATTATTCTGATGCATGTTTTTCAATGTGAGAAATTATGTTAGCTATATTTTTCATACTGCTTTAACGGAAAAGTACAACAGCTATTACAATTTCGTGGCAAAAAAAAGTTTCAGTAATTTTTAGATAAAACACTCAAAAATAAACAAATGAAAACGACCACATTTAGCCATACAGTAACTAAATTTAGAATTGATGTTTGGTCATAAAGATTCAATGGGATCGAGATCTGAGGTCAGGCAATCTAAACCCTCTTCGTCTCTTTGACTAAGCCAATTCCGTATATTTGGAAGAACGATGAAGATCAATAAAAATGAAATAATTTTCTAGGGAACTCCTCGAGGGAAGTAAATTTCATTTTTATTTCATTTCATTTATTTGTTTCTTTAAATTAGCGCATTAAGAATTAATCTTTTACTGTGCAATACAAATAACTGAGTACAAAAATATGTATTAAAATAAAATAAAAATTACAATTATATAAAAACAAGTATGTATGCATATATTAATACAAACTTAGAAAAGCCAAATAGAAAATTTATGACCACCTTATTATATTATGCGACTTAATCGGAAAAATATTCAAATATGAATTTTTTGAAATTACTTTCACGCAGTGAGTTCTTTAGAGGCATGGAACGGAGTTCGAAAGTCTAACACCATTAACAAAAAACAAAAGCCTTGAAGTGCTTAAGTAATTAAATTTCAGAAATATCAAATTAAAGGAGCGTGAGCTTTTGGAAAACTTAAGCCTTTCATATAGATATTCCTGCTTTTTATAAACAAGCAATTTAAACATAAAAATGCAATTACGAGCTTTTATATTTTGTTAGGTCACAGCCAAGTATTGAGTTTCTAAAGCTAGATATTTGGTCAAATTTCTTGAAGCCATATGCATACATACCTAGTGGCATGGTTGAATGCAGCATCGAGTTTGCGCAGGGAATGAAAGTCCAGTTTGCTGTACACTACTTCGAAGTAAGTAATAAGGGGAACAATTGTGATTAAAACCAGCTTCTTTTTCGTATCTGAAGATATGAAAAGCAAGGATACTCTCAGGCAACGAAAGGTGTAGTAGATTTTACTCACAACTTCATTGACTTGGTCCTCACAAGTCATCTTAGAATTAATAATAAAACCCAAGTTTCTCACTTTGCTGACTAATTCAAGCTTTGTAGAACCAATATAAAGGTGAGGGATATCATAAATTTGGATTCTATCTTTGCAAATTGGGAGTACTTAAGATTTTAGAGCATTGAGGCTGAGAAGGTTTACTCAAGAACTGCGCGCAAGTCCTCATTAAGCCTAAGTGTTGTATCTTGGACCATACTGATATGGTTAGATATATAGAGTTGAACGTCATCGGCGTAGGCGTGGAGGCGAACGTGTGAGCTTGTGTTGAAAATATCGTTGATAAAAATACTGAAGAGGAGAGGACCTAGCACAGAGCCGTGAGGTACTCCAGAGCATGTGAGCGGCAATTCAGAGAATATGTTGTCGATTTTAACTTTCTGCTTTCTGTTACAGATATAACTGTTTAGAAGCTTTACTGCATTTTCACCAAATCCAAAATAGGTAGCTAATTTTTAACACAGAGGACTGTGGTTGACAGAGTCAAACGCTTTGGAAAAATAATAGACATAGAAGTGTTAAGTGACCTTGATCAAACTATTGACGGATATCGTCCAGTACTTTGGCGACGGCAGTCGAGTAAGAATGACCAGCTCTAAAACCGGATTGAAGCGGACTGAGTAGATTCATTTTAAAATGTCCATATAATTTTCATTTCTACCAAATTCGTCAATAAAAGACAGTTTACCATACCTCTTGAACTCTTGCAGGCCCATACCATGGGATTAGCATTCAACTGTATGGATGTTCTAATTAAATAACTATGATGAGGTCCTATCTTAGTGCGTAAGTCCTCCCTTATTGAATCACCAATGCGAGAATATCTATATTGAGTGCATCAATTCAAATTTGACGTTCTGGCGGTTACTCTATAATACGATGCGATAGGAAAATTGCTTCCGCAAATTCGGAATACTGACACCCTGCAGATGTGACAAGCACATTTGAAATTGCGCTTTTCGCATTTCAGGCAGTCATTCGACAAAATAAAGGAGTTATATCGCACAAACTTGTATTTGAACTAGAGATGGGCAAAACTCGTGATTTTCTACGTGACTCGTCATGTCACGCTTTTTCACGCGTGAGCGTGAGCGGGTTTGATCAATTTCCCGTAATTTCCGTGATCGTGCGTGACTGACATTTTTGTTTCCCGTCAGTCACGTAACTTTTACATACATAAATATGTGAATTTTTAATTAAAAATTAAGACATTAACGCGGAAATCCAGATTTATTTAAAGAATAAAAGAAAGTTGTGACGAAGCTTTAACATTTGGTAAGAAAGCTTAAGATTTGCCACTTCATAGAAGCTTTTCAAAGGCAAATTTTAGACATACCAGCTAGCTCATCAACTAGTGAAAGAGTTTTTTCTGCTTCAGGCAGAGATCTAGAAGGAAGACGGAGGTACACGACTGTTCGGTGAAAACCTCGTCTATACAAATTTCAGGCTTTTTAATTATATTTTCTTATAAATATTTTGAGTATGCAGGTTTGTATTCCATTAAATTTTTATATAATACAGTGGAAGTTTAAAGAAGCTCCGACTTACCGTTGATTTTTTGGCAATTTTTTTTTGCTTACGATGTCACTCATTTTCTTCCATACAAAGTACGTTCGTCGTTTTTTTTTTTATATGGAGAAAATGAGCAATGCCATCAACAAAAAAAAATCCGAAAAATCAACAGTAAGTCGGTGCTACTTTCAACTTACTCCAAATATTTCTAAAAAATCTAATTAAAATCTTTTCAAAGTATGAGTGTCGTAAAGTTATGATAAGCACTATATATCTGAAATTTCTAAAAAAAATTAATAGTGCGTTCATCTCTTGCCATGCGTTTGGCGAAGCTTTTGTAACATTCCTTGTGTGATAAAAGCCTATTTATATGGAATGTTATTTATATAAAAAAAAGTTTCGATTTGAAAAAACTTTTCGTGAGAAAGCGTGCGTGAACCTGCGTGATTAAAAAAATAGCCATCGTGAGCGTGCGTGAACGTGAGCCAAAATCACCCACGCGCCCATCTATAATTTGAACAATCAGTGATATAGGACATATAGATTATACAGCACGACGATTTGACGATTTTCTCAATAGACTTTGTATGGTAATTTAGAAAATAGCTCAAGAAATTTATCGGTTTTAGGTGTCCATATAAAGGAGTTTTGAAGTAAAACCCCATATATAGGTACATATATGAATAATCAGTTGTATGGAGGCAATAGTTTCCCTGCAGTGAAAAGCCAAACCAGTTAGAAAAAATACTGGTTCATTAACTAGTAAGTGCCTACCAGTTCGACAATTTCGAAGAACTTAGGCGATCAGCGACATCTGCCTTTGAATTGCCAAAGCCAAAAATAAAACGCAATTAATTGCTTTTCTTACAAATGTCGGCTGTGGCGTCACGTGAAGACTACTGGTTCTGGTTTTGAAATCGCAGGTTCGAGGCCGCTTGGAGGTGGTTAAGATTTTTAAAGTTAAATAAATGTAAGTAAAAATAATTTATACAATTTATAAATAAATAACAAATTTGAAAATCAAATTGCATTGCAAAACAACATTTAAGAAGAAATATAAAAACAAAGAAATTAAACAAAAATATTTTTTTTATTAAATTTAAAAATTACAATAAACAGTGTAAACAAAAAAAATAAAATTATAAAAAATAAAAAAAAATAAAAAATAAAAAAATAAAAAAATTTTCCCTACGCCAGGATTTGAACCTGGGACCTCAGGCTAGCCATGCGAGTGCTCTGCTCTGTCGGCCATTATGCTTTTCACGGGGCATGAATTGGCAGACTATCTCATCAACTGGTATGATGCTACTAGTATTTGTACTAGTAGATGCTGATGCATAGCCTGACAATTGACATCTCGTAGGACATCGCAATGTTAAAAATACCAGTCGCTAACATTGAAAAAGGACAGAACGTGAACTAGTTCGGCTGAAACGCAAACCGGTAGAATTCTAGTTCACAACTAGTAGCTTTCCCTGCAAGGTTATACCAGAGGTGGGCAGCTTCGGCAGAACATTTTTATAGTGTGCGTATGAATGACGCTTTCGCTGCCTTCCCAAGCAGAGCGTGTATGTATACGCGAATACGACGCAACGACGCCCGCCGTGCAGAAGCTGCTGCCTAGGTCTGGTTTATAGTGACCCGATCTTTGTCAGTTTCACTGTAAGTATTCTGTTGATAATGAGTGAAAACAGTGCGAAATTTCATGTTCATAGCTGCATAAATGGTTATAGTGACTATAGGTTATAGTGACCCGATCTTTGTCATTTTCACTGTGTGTATTATGTTCATAACGGATGGACATAGTGAGAAATTTCATGTTCCTAGCTGCATAAATGGAGGAGTTATACGAAAAATCTCATATCTGAACATTTATATGTTATAGTGGTCAGATTTTTCCGGTTCCGACAAATGTTTAATACATTATAAAAATACACCCACTTACCAAATTTCATACGGATATCTCGAAAACTGAGAGACTAGATTGTATACAAACAGACGGACATGGCTAAATCGACTCAGTTCGACGATCTGATCACATAATTATACATTTTAATGGGTCTATCTCTTCTTATTTTGGTACTTACAAACATCGGACCAAAGTTATAACACCATTTCATGCTCACGAAAGCTATAATTGACAAAAATCAACGGTAAGTGCCAGATACTTCAATCTTGCACTTTATACTATACACAAAAATTTAATGGGCTACAAA